CTTCTGCGCGCACAGAACTGGTTTCTTCAACCGAATGGCGGTTGCTTCTGCTGTTGCATCCACTGACCAAAGGACTTTTGGATAGTTTGGTGGACCTTGCAAATCACCTTGAAGGCTTCCTTGGGGTCCACACGATGTCCAGAGTCAACTATGTGGGCAAGAATGGCGCTGTTGATACTCTTGACTTAACCTTTGCTCAGCCATGCTGGGAGGTGCTTTCGTATTCTTTTGGATAAACGCCGGCTCTTGTGACCGATATAACCTGCTCCACAGGAACAAGTAAATGAGTAAATGCGCATAGAAGTGGTCTGAGCTGACAGCCTATCCTCACGTTCGCCGTGCAGGACTGGGTTGTGTGAGAATAATACCCAAACTTTCGCTGCTGGCAGGGTTCGTGATACGGCTTGATTAAGGCGCTTGCTTAGGAGTTCACTTGCTGCATTCTTTTTAATAGGGGACTTTAACGAAGATCATCTTCTTTTCCACGGTAGGTGTGGTGGGTTTGGTTTCTATTTCCATCATGTTCTTTTGGATGAATCTATCAGGCTACCCGTTTCTCGAAGCAGATCAATAATGTCTGCCGAGCAGATATTTCTAGCCCTTTGCGTTAAGCAGCGGACTAAATTGCGCTTCTGTTGGATGGGTACGAAGCTGTTAAGGTTCGTATACTGTCCGGACCAGGTTCTCTTTTAATAAACGTTCCTTCGGATGCTACCGTCAAGTTTTCTTCAGCAAATTTTCGACGCTAGAGCTCCAGATTGTCGTCAGAATTGAGAAACTACATAAAGGGTAAGATACTTTTACTCAGGCGCCAAAAAACAAATACCTGGTAAATCCTACCCTCTTGCCTGAGCTCGTTGAATGGAATTTGCGGAAACACCAAATAAAAGTGGTGAACAAACCGATGGTTACTTTATTCATCCAGCGAGTACTGCCTCAGGATAGGGTTAGCTACCTCGATTAGACAGGTTTCATCGACAAAATCTCATGCAAATCTTGTGATACCGTATATTATAGCCAAACGGGAAGATCCGTCTCCACACGCATCCATGAGCACCAGTTGGCAGTGAAGAGACATAACCGTTTGTCCGAAATGGCTATGCACTGGCTTGACACAGGACACACCATTGCATTTGACAGAACCCGCATCGGCGGAGTTTGCCCTCCAAAAAAAGTAA